GACATCTACATCTATCCTCGATTACGAATCGAAATGCAGATGCGTTGTCACCCATGAGCACTAAGATGGAATGCCTCGTTTCCAGTGAAAAGGATCTCCGGTTCTCTACACTCACCATACGAAACAAAGCAGCATAAAGTTTCTAAACTATTTTACGCTGGTATTCTGTGAGAGTGTGGTCCTTCCCTGGTCGAGCCGACCCATTCGTGCTACAACTATACTACTAATATAACTGCAGCATGGCTCTACCACGTGATAAACGAAATATTCATTTTTATTTCTATAGCTTAAAGAGTTTTTAATTTAATACATTGGTTTTTGGGTCTGTCATTGATACTTTGTGATTATAGAATAAAAGAAACTCTATGATAATGATGATATATGATGGGCGTAGATCGCCTTTGTTCACTGGACGCTCTATATTGAGAACACCAGACAGAGAGTACACTTATTATTTGTCTACAAGTGGTAAAATTAAAGTTTTATAGAACCGACTTCAATATAAATAAAATGAGAACATCATCAATGTATTCAAAGTCAATTAAATACGCATTATTAAAGATAAGTCAAAAACTACTGGTTAAATCTTGATAAAATTTATATGGGACCACATGAGAAGCACCAGCTTTCAAATAAAAAAAGGATCTTCAAAATCGGTTCACCCAGAAAAGAGTTCTGAGGTAACAGACAAAAAAACATACAGTCGAATTGAGTACCTCCTCATATTTGAAGTCGGTTAAAATCGCATACTACATTATTTATTCTGTGGTTGCGTCTGGTATGTATATACTTTGCGGCTACTAGCTGCTATTCACGTTTACGCATAAAAATTTGTTGCTAAAAATAAATTGTAAGCTATAAATTATCTACCTATTTATATATTTAAAAATAAATAAATGATATTTATTATAAAGGCTGTGAGTATTGAATTAATCACTATAAAATTGTTCGAAAAGAAATTATATTCTAGTTAATGTTGAGGAAATTAATCTTGGAGAAAACTGATTATTAATAAAGGAATAAAGAATTTAAATACCTATTAATAAGTTATTATTTAGCATCCTTTTACAATTTTAATAAATGTACGTGTAATGGCGTGTTTATGAGAACACTTAGGCCGGCCACATACATAAGGGATTCCGTTTCGGGATTCCGTCTCCCTATCCCGTCGAATGGTGTCAAACTAGCCCTTTTTGCAGATGACACAGCCCTTTACTCCAAAGGCAACTCACTACCACAGATTCGGAACAAGATCCAAAAGTCAGTAAGCGACTTAGGAGCTTGGTTCCAAAAATGGCGTATCGACGTAAACCCGGAGAAATGTTCCGCCGTTTGCTTCAAATATAAACGACGCCGTCTCACCACCACTCCGCCAATCAGGATGTTAGGAACCCCTGTCCCATGGCAAACTAAAGCCAAATACCTAGGCGTCACCCTTGATGCAAGGCTCACTTTCGAGCCCCATATCAAGAAGGTTACTCGCACCGCACGTTTTTACATGGGTAGGCTCAACAGCATGTTGGGCAGACACAGTAAAATGTCCCTCCGCAACAAGCGAACCCTATATAAGGTCTGCATACGACCTGTCATGACCTACGCGGCCCCCATTTTTGCACACGCTAAACCCAAAGCTATCAATGAACTTCAAATAGTTCAAAATCTATTCTGTCGTAGGGCCACTAACTCGCCCTATTATGTCCGTAATGCCGACCTACATCGAGACTTAGAGCTCCCAACAATCCAGCAGTTCCTCAAATCACTCTCTGAGAGATTTTTCAAAGCCTCAGAGTCCCACCCAAATCATCTCATTCGTGAGACAGCTGCCTATGCAGCCCCTATCCACACTCGCTATAGTGTGCGCAGACCGAGAAACTCTCTCTCGGACCCCCCCAACAAGCTTTCGGCTGACCTGAACTGCCTCCTGGCGGCTCGGGCCGAGCCTACATAACACATCCATTAATCTGCCTTAGTTAGGCACTTTTCTAAGCGGCTTTACGCCGCTTGCGCCCTCCTTTCTGCCAAGGAGGGTCGCGTTCGTATACGGCTTAGAGATCTCTAGTCAGATCGTTAAGCCAATTATCAAAAGGTTGAGTTTAGTGGGTAAAAGTCTCCACATAACCACGCAGCCGGCTGCGTGGTATGCTATGAGCATTCTCAACCTCCCTCCCCCGCTTTCCGGAGGGTTGCCCATATTTGCTTCGGGCGCAAAAAAAAAAAAAAAAAAGGGATTCCGTTTCAGAATTTCGATTCGGGATTCCGAACGTAGAAAGTCCATATAAAATTAATGATCCGTCACACACCTACGTTATTTTTCCGTTCAAAATTTTGCGGACAAACGGAATTTCGTAAGTGTGTGACCGACCCGTACGTTTCGTTTCGGAATTCCGAAACATAATCTCGAAACGGAATTCCGTATGTATGTGACCGGCCTTATATTATGTTCAACCGTGTACTCAAAGGTACTAGGAAGGTGTACATTGTGTAAATACAACGTACGTACATATGGAATTCCGTTTCGGAATTTCCAAACGGAACAAACGGGACGGCCACACACAGACGGAATCCCGTTTTGCCCGCAAAATTCCGTACGGAAACTACCGTAGGCATAGAATAAATAATAGTACTACGTCGTAGGTGTGTGACGGGTTATTGATTTTATATGGACTTGCTGCGTTCAAAATCCTGAATCGGAATTCCGAAACGGAATCCCGAAACGGAATTTCGTATGTATGTGACCGGCCGAACTCGTTTTGTGTTCGGTATAACTACTGTCATATTTATTCTGTGCCACTGTGTCAAAGTGTTACACAACAGTTATTAATGACGAGGTATAGACGATATAGACGGTTGGTATAGACGAGGTATTATCACGGGGGTGACAAAGCAACTACTTATATAATTTTAATTTTAATTTCAGGGCGGTCCCTGTTAATTAAGTGCTTTTTTTCACACATCATTGTCATAAAATCATAGTTTCGAACGACGAAGGGGATTTTAAATAAAAATTGCTAGTGTAACCGAATCTTTATTTTGCAAAATAATAATGTTCTATTTTAATTTTTTTTTCTGTCATCATTACTATAAAAGAAGCGTTTTATAAATGACGCCCGAAGCATGCTTTCTCTCCCTTACAATAACAGTTAATATACTCGCTCACCCATGTACAGTATACAAAAAAATAATCTTCAAATCACTGCCTCATTGGTCTAGTGGTTGTAATAGTGCGACTGCTGATCATGAGGATCTAGGTTCGAATCCCGGGTCGGGCCAAAAAATTAATTATTGAGTTTTTCCGTCAAGAAATTCTCAGTCGTTTACCGAAGTCAGGAAGTTGTCGGTGTCGCACACCCGTGCCTCGGAAAGCACGTAAAGCCGTTGCTCCTGCGCCTGATCTCTCTTCGGTCGTGTCGGTTTACCGTCCCATCGGATTATGAGAGTGAGGGAATAAAGGGTGCACCTGTGCTTGCGCATACGCTTGGGCACTATAATCCTGTCCTGCGCCGATGGCTATCCTCCGTTGAGGCAGGCCGCCGTGGCCGCAATTCGCTTTGGAGGACATTATTATCCATTATTATCATTATTATAGCTATCCTGGTGCGGTACTGTTAACGTGGGCCATCTACGACTTTTTTGCCACCAGATTTTGTAGCGGGGAAGGTAACTTCTTAGGAAATATTAATTATATTTTATATTAATTGGATTAATAATGAATAAGCCAAACTAAGGATATTACTAAAAGAAAAAAAAACATTGAAAAAGAGTCACAAAAGTGTAAAAAATTAAAGAGCAAACCAATGAGTTGATTGATGTTGTATTTACATCATACTCAAGAAACTAATAAACACTGTTTTTAAACGAAACTTCTCAATTATGTACCTAACATTGTGTAACAAAAAACTTCATATCAATGTTGACTAGTGACATCTGGCGAGCGGAAGATTACTAACCTCCATTATGCTTTGTGGACTTGGTTTTGTTGTATTTGTTGTTATTGTTTGTTTGTTAAAAATATTTTTCAAACAACGAATTCGCGCAAATGTGGAAAGACCTTGCGTCACACACACGTCAAATTGTATTTATATTTTTTACAGGATAGGGTGACAAGCGAGCACACAGTCCACCTGATGGTAATTGGTTGCTGTGGCCCATAGACATCTACATTTATCTTTAATTAAGAATCAAAATGCAGATGCGTTGTCACTCCTGAGGACTGAGATCGAATGCCTTGTTTCCAGTAAAAAGGGTCTCCGGTTCTCTACACTCACCATATATTATAATGATGTAAAATATTTGAAGAAGAAATGAATTTGGAGTGTTATTATCGATCGTCCTTCTTTGGCGACAATATTCGTCATATTAAGTAATTTTAGAACGTAAATGTCAGATTATGTGAGTCTTCTAAATTTGGTTACGTTTGGATAATTGTTTGATGTTTTAAAATAAAATCTGCTGATATTCAGTCCATTTTTCAAATCAAAGAACGATAATCGTTTATAGTTCTTTTTTAATTTATAATCTCACAAATAAAAATTAATCATTAAAATAGTTTTTTAACCAGCAAAGATATCGCGGATAGACTATATCGTATGTTACATATAAAAAACAGTGAGAGTGAGAACCTCTCCTTTTTTAAGTATTAAAATAAAAATAAAACTTTAAAAAAGTACTATTTTGACAATTTGTTTTCGTGACTGTACGTCCACCAACGGTCAGAATTTATATAAAGCTTTAATGGTGTAAATTATACTACTTATATATTCTTACCTAAAAACAAGAAGTCTTTCACTAGTTATGTAACTACTTTAAGTAGTGTGCCTGACTTATTTGATAAAAATTAGTTTTTTAAGGATTTGCCGCTTGCTGCCTTGCTGCAAAAACATTTAATGTGACATATTTTATTAAGTTTCAAACGTTTATTTCAATAGTTCGATATTAAACACCACCATCATCAAGGCCAGCTCTGGAGCTGTAAGCGTTTCCTGATTATTCCATTCACCTCCTCAACCCTCTTCCACATTTTTTAACTCCAGCATTTTGTCCTTCTCGGACACATCCGCTTTTATCATCCCTGCCTTCTCCCCTTTAAAATGACACTCAATCTCATACAGAGTTTTTCCTTTGGTTTCTGGCAGGAGGAAGAATAGAAAAACTCCACAAATCGTGACACAGATTCCATAAACACAGAACGTCCCGTTAATGCCAATTTGCGTGAACAAAGACGGTGCAGTTTTAACAACGACAAAGAACATAATCGAGAGGAACATTCCTGATATACCACTCCCCACGCTCCTGTATGCCAAAGGAAATATTTCGCCAGCTATCGCCCAGGGGATAGGTAAAATTCCTAGAGTTTTCCCGAATATATAGCAGAGAGTGGGTAATACAGGTGTCCATTTATATTTGTCTAGTATATATCCGCCATCTCGAAGATAGAGCAACAAAGCAGTTGTCAGGAGAGAAACCACTGTGATAATTATACCCAGGAAAAGGACGGTCCTTCTGTTGAATTTGTTGATAACAATACAAGCTATAACGGCGGTTGAAAATCTAACAATGTCTACCATCAGCATGCTTGTATACGGTTCAATGGTTTCACCTGAGACTTCTTCCATAATGTACACGGTGTACGATGGCACAACAGTCATACCTGATACTTGGAACAGTATAAACATGAACATCATTATGACCGTAGGCTTGTAGAATTCAGGTTTCGTGATCATCTGTCGATAGAACGTGAACTGGGGCACCTTCGGACCTACGGTCTTTCTCTGGCTGTTGATTAGAACTTCCAATTCTTTGTCCGAATTTTCATCATCTCCTCTTAATAATTTAAAAGCCTTTCGGCATTCGCTGTTCTTGCCGCGCGACGCTAAATATGGCGGTGTTTCTGGAGATATGGAAATCAAGATCAATGATATGATGTAGAAACTGCCGCAAGCCACAGCGGCCGCTCGCCAATAGAGTATGGTCCCGAATATATGAGCTACAAGCATGCCTAATGCGAGTGAGAATGCGATGGTTGCAAGGAACGCTCCACGGTGTTTGGGAGATGAGTACTCCGCTATGCTTACTGGACCTGCTGCCGCTTGGAGACCCATAGCGAATCCCTGCAAATAGAAATTTCAATTATTAGTAATAATAATAAAAATAATGTCCTCCAGACCGAATTTCGGTCGAGGCGGGCTGTCTCTATGGAGACCAGCCATCTGCGCAGTACAGGATTATAGTGCTCAAATGCGTAAGCATACTCTATCTCAGATCAGGCGCAGGACCAATGGCTTTACGTGCTTTACGAGGTACGGGAGTGGAAAACCCATTAACTTTCCTGGTTCCAGGCTGCCAATGATAATTTCGTGACAGTAAAAATAGAACCAATAACTGATTTTGGCCCGACCCAGGATTCGAAACCAGTACGTCAAGATACTACAATAATTGAGAACAACGAAACGAACGAATTAATTCAGAATCTGATTAACAAGAAACAATTGTGAAATCATAATCATTCCACTTAACATAAATTCAAATTTATCTTAAATCTTTGTAATATGTGTGTTAACTTAATTTTGAAGAAATAACCCAACAATCTACTAAGATTATTTTTGTTTCGATAAAAACTTGAAGCTTTTACAAGAGCTACTCGTAAGTCTTTGCTGAATAGTATATATTTACTAAAACTTTGAGAATTCCTAAGAAGTTATTGTCTTTTTAAAGTTAACTTTATGTAAATAATTGCGAGATGATATAATGTTGTTGTGGTTTCGGTTCATTGTTCGTTAAGTATTAGTTTCTTTAATTAAAATATTATTTTTTGTGTCATTTTTGTTGTAAATAACTTTCAAGCCATGCATACGCGTCATCTCTTACTCCATATGATTCTATTTTATGGAGGAGTTTACAATGATTTACAAAGTCAAATGCGCAACTTATGTTAAGAAACAATGACAGTACAGTATTATTAATTATACATTCAGTTACATATTTTATAAATTCAAAACAAGCAAGAGAAGTTGAATTACCTTTACGAAAGCCAAATTGTTTAAGGTTGTAATATGTCACAAGAACTTATAAAACCATTAAACCTTTTAAGGGGATATAGCAAGTCAGCTCAAATTCTAATTTCGTCCCCACTTGCCCGCGTATCGTATGCTATGTACCGACATGTTTGTAATCACTAACACTGTAAGTAGACAAGGTCGTTAGACACTTATTTCATTAGGTTTATCATATTTATGCCTGTTTCTTAACGTCAAGCCAGTCGCTTCTTATTTTTATTACGGTTATTTCCCATTTTAATTTTACGTCGTTCTGTTGCGCAATGTGTATTCTGATCGTAAGCGACACAACCTTCAAAGGCCGAAGCGAAGTGACCGTGCGGCAGGAATCACGCTTCAAGAGGCCGATAGTTTAGGTAATTTCTTTTTACAGTGAAAATAGTGGTATTTAAAAAAAGTAAATAACATAAGCACTGCTTTATAGTTAGTTCAGTTAGTATGCAAAGTTTCATGATCTTATTTAAAGTATTTTATGAATAACAGCGGTTTATTGTTTCTTTTGGAGGTAACTTTGGATTTTTTTTCTATCGGGAAAATTTTACGAAATCGTGTTTTCGTCTAACATAATCCTTAACATTAATCCTCAACTTTACCATATATTTATTTCAAAATTAATGCTGCAATATTTTCGGCATAACGAAGGATCTTGCTAAGCCATTTGAGATTATATTTCCCCTTAAGCATTCCTTTTTCAAACACTTTTGACAAAAGAAACAAAAGTGATAGGTCTATGGTTGCCTATATCTTCTTTATCTCTTTTTTATGCAAAGGATGAACTATAGATAATATGAGGTAGGGCTATATATAAATCAAAAGCACATAATTTTAATACTTTAGTAATGATACCATCATACCCACAGGATTAACTATTTTTAGTGACATTATGATATTGTTAATTTCGTTTTCATCGGTGGGTTTTAAATATATTGTACGAGAATTCCTATCAATCATTTTGTGAGTATTATCAAGGTTAGGCGTCTGTTTGGCGGTTTCATTACTAAAATAATCATTAAAGGAGTCACAGATGTATTGGGGATTAGAATGTGTAAAATTATTTAATGTAACCACATTGATCTTATCACTATGCACCTTGTCAGACAAAGTTGAAGAAATAGCATTCCAAGTTCTCTACCCATATTTTTACTGTTTATTATTACTTTACGGTATGAATTTCTTGTGCAGTATGTATACATTTTCTTAAGACTTTACTATATTTAGGAATATTGAGCATATTTGTTGGTTTACTAGTCTTCGACAATCGATATTTTAAATATAATTATCGTTTATTTTTACTTGATATCCTTAGACCTTTAGCGATCTATCTTAATTTACGAGGTCTATTATTTTCTTTAACCTTAATAACAGAAAAACATAGATCATAGAGCATGCGGAAACTGTTTAAAAGCATTTAAAAGCTTCATCAAGTGGGGTTCATCTTACGAGTAGTTTACTACCCCATATCATCACGTGGGTGACCTACGAGGTGACAGAGGAAAACATTAGGAGATGAACGGCAGCATCTTCTTAATAACGACTAAAATGAAAAATGGCGGTTGCCAGTCCGCTTACCAAGCGTGGCAACTATCGTAAACATCCCCACAGTGAGGTAATCTATGGAGCAGGCCTATGTTCACTGGTAGATTTTAATAGGCTGTAACGGTAAACTGGTCAGTTAAAATTTGGTTTCGAATATCGTCAGAATGAAAAGTAACGTTCGCAGTGCTATATGAAAATAATGTTACTCCACTTCACCGAGTCAGTAATTCATTCTTGGGGCGATGTATACACTTTTACAACAGAAAATATACAAAATTTGACCTGCACAAAGTTAAAAAACTCTATTTAACCAAGTTTCTATAAAAAGGGTTATATAATATTAAGGTATTTATGGATGATAATAACCCCTCGGAAGTGTGATCGCTACCAAGCTATTTCTAATTTGTTTTGTGTTGTAAACTGTAACGTACATGATTGTAAGCTGTTATTTTAAAAAAGAAATAGTACCGCTGGGTTTCTTGCTGATTCTTCCCAAGACAGAGGTTTTTCCCGAACTAGTTGTAAATAAAAAAAATTGATTTTCAATAAGTATTACAAATAATCTATATTGAATAAAAAAGTTTCGGTTTCTGTTTCTGTTTCTATTACTGTATCCTGAACTAAGCAGCAGTGAGTCTCGACCGCCTTCGTGAGATAAATTATCTATAGCCCTGTAGTGGCGAGTTAAGAAAATTCACTATCCCAAATCATCCCATGGGTCTCGAAAGAGGGGTCCGAGGGAAATAGAAACAGCTGATGAGTAGAAGCATTTGCCTGATAACAACTAAAGAAAAAAAACTGCGGTCGCCCCAACAAGGCTTCTAGCCTTTTAAGAGTGCCCTGCTGAGCATAGGCTTTTCCCTATGGGCTATTTGCCATAGTAGCCCCGCTGCGTGTAGCGTCAGCAACCATAGTTGAATTATCATCAGGATATGATGCTGTCCTTCTCCAGTTGCCCCTTTTTTATAGAAGAGGGGGCAAACGAGACTACCGCAGCCCATGAACACCCGCAACACCAGGGGAATCGCGGGTGCGTTGCCGCCCTTTTAGAAGGGAGTAAACTCTTTTTTGATCTTATAGGGGGATATTTGGCATAATCCGCACTTGGAAGGGGTGTGGGCTGCCACATTTTCTTTTAAAAATATTGTCAGGATGTTATTTGTAAGATTTTTCTTCTTACATCTTTCTTGTTCCTACACCGCCACTACAATGATATTTTATTTTTATTTTCGACTGCCTCGTTGGTCTAGTGTTCGAATAGTCCTAGGTTCGAATCCCGGGTCGGGCCAAAAAATCTATTATCGAGTTTTTCCGTCAGGAAATTTTTAGTCGCTGCCCAGAATCAGGAAGTTGCCGGTGACTCACCCCCGTGCCTCGGAAAGCACGTAAAGCTATTGGTCCTGCGCCTGCGCTCTCTCCGGTCGTGTCGGTTTACCGTCCCATCGGATTATGAGAGTGAGGGAATAGAGAGTGCACCTGTGCTTGCGCATACACTTGGGCACTATAATCCTGTCCTGCGCCGATGACTATTCTCAGTTGAGGCAGGCCGCCATGACCAAAATTCGGTCTGGAGAACATTATTATTATTGTACTATTTTCTGTTTATTGAAGTCGACTTTACTTTGGCCTTATAAGGTCAATGTCGCTCAGCGAACTATGGAGAGGGCTATGCTCAGGGTTTATCTGCGTGATGGACTTAGAAATGAAGAGGATATCCACAATAGAACCAGAGTAACCGACATAGCGAAACGGATTAGTAAGCTGAAGTGACAATGGGCCACCAAGAACGGTTCTCGAGTGGCAGCCTCGGATCGGTAGTCGGAGTGTAGGCTGACATTTATACGTGTGAATTGACGTGTTAGTGACATTTTAGTGGCTACGCGGGCTCCGCCCACTCCCCCGTTCTATTATGTATGTATTATATGTATTATAGTATTCTATGCTATCAACCTATCAAATTCCAATGCTGAACATAGGCCTCCCTATTAATTGCCTCATTAGGGGGATATTGTCAAAGTTGCTAAGCTTGGCAGATGGGTTGGCAACCGACCTGGCAAGACATGCTGGAAGTCGATGCACGTGGCTCAGGACTGTGCTTCGTGGCATTCCTTGAGGGAGGCCTATGTTCAACAGTGCGCTTATGAAGTGCTGTATTAATGAAGTTCGTTTTCACTTTTTGTTAAAAAATTTTTTTGACATAAAACATCAATTATCATTTTATATGCACATTGTCTAAAAAATTGCAACCGTTCTCGTCCAATTTATTTCCCAATCCTGCCTGTCTTATTGCTTGCCAAGTTTATATTCAAGGGCATCGTATTGTTTGACCAAACAATTAACATGAGTGATCTACAGTCGTTCTCAGTTGTTTCAACAATTATGCCAATGAATTGAAACGCGACATTTTAAACCTTTAAATGAATAGTAATAAAACAAATTGTATTACTACGAGTATATTTCAAATAGAATAATCGCGACAAACGAACACACAGTGCCGTGTAGTGGCGGTTGAGTATATC